CGGACCCTGACCCTAACCCTAACCCTAACCCTAACCCTAACCCTAACCCTCTAAACCCTAATAACCCTAACCTAACCCACCCGCCACCCCCCAACTCCACACAGCAAATTTCTTCAAAATTTTCGCAGGCGCTCCGCGCCTGCAGATTTTGAAATGAGTTCGACAAAATTGGTACCTGGCCCAACCGCGATGACGCGCCAAGGTGCCGAGGTGGGGCCCCCAGAGCGTAAAGCCGTACGGGGCGAAGAAGAGGTAAACCGCGCCCGAAAGAGATCGAGAAGAAGAAACAAGCAATCGAGCACGCAGCACCCAGAAGCATTCGGATTTGCGATTTTTCTCCGACTCGCTCGCCACTCTCACCTCCCTCCTTTCCGCTTCGCGCCGCCACCGCCGTCCGCCGCCGCTCGCTGCCGCTTTGCGCCGCCTCCGCCCCCGGGTGCAGCCGCCCCTTTCCGGCGCTTGCCCGCTCCCCCGCCCCCCTTCGCGCCGCCTCCGCCGCCGACCGACTCCACTGCGCGCCTCCTCCCGCCCGCCGCCGCCGCCGCCTGGTTCGGCGACGTCAGCACAAGGAAGAGCTTCTTTGACCGCTCGGAGCGCGGGTAGTCGACGACGAGCGTGCCTAGGCCGAGAGGCGAGCAAGGTCCGACCGTGCCTCCAGTGTGGCACCTCGCGAGACAGCACCGCGCCGCTGAAGCCGGCGGCGACGGCCGCGTCTCGAAGCATCCCTGCGCGGCGGCGGAGGGGCAGGGGCGGAGGCTCAGGCCGGTCCTCCCACGCCCGGGCCGCCGTCTCTCGGGCTGCCCCGGGAGGGCCGCGATGCGCTCCCCTCTCGCTCGCCCCTCGCTCGCCCCTCGCTCGCCCCTCCCGCTCACCCATGTGCTCCGGCTGCTCGGGGTAGAGCTGCAGCACCGCGCGCGCGCCCGGGACGAGGACCGCCTTGAGCCCGCGGAAGAAGGTGCGCACGCGCTTCGCCGGGTCGTGCCCGTTCGCCGTCGCGTGGCACAGCCACTGCACCGCGGAGATGGAGACGGCGCCGTCGAACACGCGCCGCCTCAGCCAGAGCGGAGCTCCTAGGTCCGCGCAGAGCACGTCGCGCCTCTTGCCGGGCGCCCGCGCGGCGCGCAGCATGGACTCGGAGAGGTCGAGCCCGACCCACGCGTGCCCGGCGCGCTCGAGCGGCGCGCCAGAGTAGCCGGTGCCGCAGCCGAGGTCGAGCAGCAGCGCGCCCGGCTGGCGGATGTCGAGGAGGTGCAGCGCGCGCTCGGCGAGGTGCCGCTGCGTCCTTCCCATCCGCGCGCTCGCGCTGTACTTTGCCGCCTCGGCAGGGTCGTAGAAGGCCTGCGCCGCGGCCGTCCGCTCGGGGCGAGACATGAGCACAGGGCGAGGAGACGAGGGCGCTCGTGGGTGGTCGTGGACCTCGGGCGCGATTTTCGGCCGTTGTTTTTCTTTTACGACCCCTGTAGGAATGTGTGTCGCCCGTGCGTGTCGTCATCATCTGTCTTGCGTCCACCCATACCGCCTTGGTGTCCAGTCCGAGCCTGGCTGTTCTTCACCTTTCTACCTACCTACCTACCTAGGGAATGTTGGCAAAATACCATCGGAGACGGGTCAGATTGATACAGGCTGGAAAGGACCCTCTCGTCGGCGCGCAGCAAAGAGGAGAACGGCGACGCTCGCGATGCTCGGCGAGAGCCCGCCACCCTTGGCCTTGGCCCTTGGCCTTGCTCGGCGGCGCGTGGGGAGCCGAGCGGCTCGCCCAGCGACGTCTCGCGCGAGACAACAGCCCGCATCCGTCACGGATGCCGCGCCTACCCGTCCTCACGGTGCGTGTCGTCTAGACCCGCCGCCCGGACTTTTGCTCCTGCGCCATCCCTTGCGCTCGCTCCGGCCAGCGGCCTCCTCTAGAGCGGCCTCTGTCGAGGCCTCTGCAACATGTGCCAGATAGATAGATAGGTAGGTAGGTGAATGTGCCATCGAGCTTCTCCAAGACACGAGATCTAGCACGAGATCAACGGGGGTACGGTCCTCCGCGATCCTAGCGCGCGACACTAGTAGATCATCGCGACCGCGACGGCGGGGGCGGGCGTCTCTCGCAGCAAGTACTTGCGAGCATAGTCGAGCAGGCCCGTCCCGGGCGCCACAAACTCCTCCGAGGAGATGTACCCCGAGCCGTCGTGGTCCCAGCACTGCACCAGCCAGCACGGCGTGGAGCAATGCATCCAGGGCATTGTGTTGGGCGCCAGCCAGCATGCCTCAGCACAGAGCAAGAGGGCATGCTTCGCACCCTGGCGCAGCACCAGCTCGCCTCCAAACAGGCACTCTCACCACTGCACAGCCGCCCACGAGCGCCCGCAGCTGCGCACTGCTCAGCGCTCAAGCTCAGGAGCCTCCCCTTGTTGTCGCAGCTTTGTGCAGTGCAGCGTGCGAGCAGCGCAGCGCCAGGCCGACCGTGGCACGCCCGGGCGGCTGTGAGACGGAGGCCCGCCGAGCGAGTGCAAGCCGCGTCGGCGGCCATGTCTCCCGCCGCCGCGAGCGAGCGGCGCAAAGAGGTAGCTTTTTGTGCATGGTTTTCCAAAGAGGTAGCTTTTCAGTGTACGTACGTTTTTTCAATGTACGTACTTTTAGCTTACTGGGAGAAAAGAGAGAGGGGGGTTGTGTTCTCTAGGCCCCTAAGGGCCCTACGCGCGGCGTGAGAGCTCGGAAGCGAGCTTTGCACGGCGATCGAGGATGGCACGGTTCACCCCCTTCACCGAAGCGATGGAGATGCGTTCCGCGTGGTGTGACACAAATGAGAGGCGGGAGTGGGGAGGGTACGCGGTGCGGTCAACGCCCGAGCGTTGAGCCTTGCGCGCAAGGCGGTTGATCTTTGCAACTGCTGGCGGCGAGAAGCCGCCGCCGAATGTCTCGTGGAGAAGCAGGTTGAACTTGTTGCGTTTGGTGAAGATCCCATCATGGTAGTGGCCATCTCAATGTATGTGGCTCTTACGTACATTCCCGGAGGAGGACTGCTGACAGGGTTTGCGATGAGGAGTGACCCGAATTTTTTAGCTTACTGGGAGACAAGGGAGAGGGAGGCGCGATTTCTAGGCCCTTGGGGGCCCTACCAATCAGCGCCTCTCTCTCTCAGTGTATGTAGCTCTTACGTACATTCCCGGAGGAGGACTGCTGACGGGGTTTGCGATGAGGAGCGATCCGAACGTGGCATTCGGGTGATTAGATCACTACCGCCGTAACGCAAGAGCACTGCGACGCATCGGGCTCATGCTAGCATCCACCTCGCGTTTTTGTGCATGGTTTTCCGTAACGGAAAGAACCTTGAGTGCTGAAATTCTTTTTTCTCAAAAAATCCTTGCAAAATTCTTTTTGTTGTACTGCCGGGCCGGCCCACTTGTCGCGCGCTGCTCACGTTCGCCTGCCCATAGAGCCCGCAAGCGGTCCGCCCGCATGCTTCCCGCCGCGCTGCTTCTCTGCAGCGTCGCCTTTGTCGGCCACGGCAGCAACAACGCGACGGAGCCGCTGCCGTGCAACCTCTCCTCGGACGACGCTCACGGCCGGCTGCTGGCGCTCAACGACGGGTCCCGCCGCCGTGGCCGTCGCTCTGCCGAGCGCAACGGGTCGCGATCGCTGCAGGCCACGCCGCGGCGGCCGCACGAGCGCGCAAACGCGACAGCGGCGCCGCACCACCACCACCGCGAGGCGCGCTGGCGGGTGCGCACCGGCCGCTTCGCGCGCACCCCGGCGGGCCTCGCGCTCGCCGTCGCTCCGGTGGCGTGGGATCGGCCGGCGGGGCAGCAGCTTGGCTCGGAGGGCTCGATTGCCCTGACCAACCGGCCGGGCCTGCTGCGCGACCTGCTGCTCACCGCCGCCTTCGCGGTGCTGGGCGGCTTCGCGCTGATGCACTGCGCCTCCCGCCGCTCGCTCCGCATCTCGTGGATCTACTCGTCCGAAGGGAACACCCACGCGCTGCTCCGCTCCAACAAGATGCTGCTGCTGCTCACCATCAACCTGACCAACCTCGGCTGCCACTCGGTCTTCTCGATCCTCGCCGCCTTCTTCCCGCAGGAGGCGAAGGCGAAGGGGGCGACGGACGAGATGGTCGGCCTCATCTTCGCCTCCTTCGCCTGCGTCATCTTCGTCGCCTCGCCGCTGGCGGCGCGCCTCATGTCGCGGCACGGCAAGTCGTACGTCTACATCGCGGGCGTCGTCATCGTCTCGCTCTCGACAATCAGCTTCGCGGTCGCCGACGCGCTGCCGGCCGGCTGGCCCTTCACCGGCTGGTGCCTGCTCATGCGCCTCGTGCAGGGCTTCGGCTCCGCGCTCGAGGAGAGCGCGGGAGTGCGGCGCTACCTCGCCGCCCCTACGGACCTCGCGTGACCCGTCGCCTCGCTTCGCCCACAGGAGACGGCGGCGTACGCGCTGATCGCCGACGTCGACCCGGAGCGGGTCTCCTTCCTGCTCGGCATCACGGAGATGTCGACCGGGCTCGGGTACATGGTCGGGCCGCCGCTCGGGGGCTGGCTCTTTTCGATCGGCGGCTTCCGCACGCCCTTCCTCCTCCTCGGCGTCCTCCTCCTGCCCGCCGCTGCGCTCATCCACCAGCGGGTGCCGCCCGAGCTCTGCCGGCAGGAGGCGCGCGAGCAGCGAGGGGGGGGCGGCGGCACGCCCACGCGCGACACGCCCACGCGACACGCCCGCGCGACACGTCCACGCGATACGCCCACGCGACACGTCCGCGACACGCCCACGCGACACGTCCGCGTCGCGTCCCGGCAGGCGCTCGAGAAGCACGAGGATGGCGAGCGCGACGTGCCGCTCGGCGACTTGCTGCGCAACCCGCAGATCCTGCTCATCGCCGTGGCGTCCGTGCTCGCAAACTCGGACTACGCCTTTCTCGAGCCGACGCTCGGCGACCACGCAAAGGCGCTCGGCATCGCCACGTCGCCCGACCTACCCCTGACCCCAACCCCAACCCTGACCCCAACCCCAACCCTAACCCTAGGCGCTCGGCATCGCCACGTCGCCCGACTCGATCGGCCTCCTCTTCTCCGTCTCCTCCGTCTGCTACACCATCTCCTGCCCCGCGATCGGGCTCCTCTCCGACCGCAGCCGCATCGGGCCGCGCCCGATGATCTACGCCGGGCTGCTCGCCCAGGCGATCGGCTTCCTGCTGATCGGGCCGTCGCCCCTGCTCGGCTGGCTGCACGGCGGCAGCGCGTCGTGGCTTCAGGTTGTCGGCGGGCTGGTGCTCTTCGGGGTAGGCGAGACGGGCTGCGCGCACAGACGAGCCGCCCGCCGCCGGGCCGCCCCTCCCACCCCGCCGCCGCCGCGCCCAGGCGAGAGCATGAGCATGACGCCCGTGATGGACGACATGATGCACTCCTGCGGCACCGCCGCCTCGTCGTGCATCAACGCGCTCTCGTCCCTCATGGCCTCGGCAGCCCACGCCTCGGCGAGAGGAGGCGAGCGCACCGAGCAGCCCTGTCTCGAGGTGTCGAGGGTGCGCGGAGTAGGCCTTCTCGCTCGGGCAGATGGTGGGCCCGCTCGCGGGCACCGCGCTGGCGTCGCACATGGGCCTTCCGTGGGCGGGCACGCTGATGGCGCTGCTCATCTGCCTGCAGCTCTTCCTCATGGCCGCGGCGGACCTCTGGCTGCCGCACGCAGGCAGGTTGCGCGGCTTCATGCCGCTGACGCAGAACGCCGCGGCCGCAACCGAGCTGGAGCGCTTCACGTCGAGCGGGAGCAGCCAGTCCCGGCACGGCTCCTCGGCGGCGATCAGCTCAGGGGATGAACTGTGAGGCGCGTGCTGGTGCGCGCGCCTGGTGCGCGCGCTCGTGGGCGCGTCTATGTGTGCCATTGCGTCGGTCCGAACCGCCTTCTCTCAGCGCCCCATGTCGTTCAACTCTTCAAGCGAATTTCCGCCTCAACGCGCGTGTGTAAGTGAGCTTGTGACTGTTGTGTCGTCGCTGCGTGAATTTTGCGCTTGTATTTGAAAAATATTGAAAATATTTTGGATCTGCAGACTGCGGGGGTCCACAACAGGCACCGGCAGTTCAGTGCTTGCGATCGTTACTGGTATAGCCCCCCAGAACAATCAAACACTCTCCGACCAAAACAATCAAACGTGTGCTGCGCAGCAACCGTGTGACCGCGCAGCCAACACTCACCACCGCCACCAACTGGAACTCTTACGACATTCTTTACGACATCTCACATCATCGTCAACCCGTACACTGCTCAACTCTGCGTCGCCGCCTTCAGCTCCAGACCAGCCATCACCCTCGCCACGTTACTGCACGGGGTCTGGGCCGCCGGCAAAGGGAAGAAGAAGAAGGAGCCGCCCGTCTATGCTCTTTATCTCCCTCGACTCGGACGCGGCATCTTCAGCTGCTGGGAACTCTGCGCTGCACATGGGGCAATCGGCGGCAGCGGAGCGATCCACAAAAAGTACGATGAAACCAATGGGGGCGTCCCAGCAGCGCTTCAACACATCAACCTACACGTGCCGCTCCCTGCCGGCTTCCCGATTGCACTTGACCACTGGTACCCCTTCGACGGCGATCCCGTGCCAGCGACCGAAGCGGCGGCCGCCAACCCCACCCTGGTGGCCCTTCGACCACACAGAACCTGTCTGCGTGCACGTCCGTGTCCAGCGAGAGGCCTCGCGCGGGCTTCTTCCTCCCCAGCATCCGCCTGACCTTTTGGCCGAAGATGCCCGTCGCCGAGCGTTCGCCGAAGGCTGTGGCTGAAGGTGTTGGCGGCCTTTCGAGGTTGCCGCCCGTGCCCTGCTGCATGTCAGCGGCGCCCTTGAGCACCTGCGTCAACATGTTGAATAGGGCCTTCGACCTCTGCTCGCCCGCTCGGTCACCGTCCTTACACGTGATCTTCTCCAGACCCGCCTGGTGGGCGGACTGTCTGATCCGTTTGAAGAGCGCTGCGCGGCCGTTGACCTCATCCTCGTCGCTGCCGGCCGCCAAGCGCGTGTCGGGGTTGGCGTCGGCTGTCGCGAGCGCGTTGGCAACGGGCGTTCGACCACACCACCGGCCAAGGCTACGTCAAGTCACAGCGTGGCCACTACCATGATGGGATCTTCACCAAACGAAACAAGTTCAACCTGCTTCTCCACGAGACATGCGGCGGCGGCTTCTCGCCGCCAGCAGTTGCAAAGATCAACCGCCTTGCGCGCAAGGCTCAACGCTCGGGCGTTGACCGCACCGCGTACCCTCCCCACTCCCGCCTCTCATTTGTGTCACACCACGCGGAACGCATCTCCATCGCTTCGGTGAAGGGGGTGAACCGTGCCATCCTCGATCGCCGTGCAAAGCTCGCTTCCGAGCTCTCACGCCGCGCGTAGGGCCCTTAGGGGCCTAGAGAACACAACCCCCTCTCTCTTTTCTCCCAGTAAGCTAAAAGTACGTACGTATCAGCCGCGGCGCTGCGCCAGGCACGGCTTGCGGTGCGGCTGCGCCAGGCACGGCTTGCGGTGCGGACGACGCGGCGTCCCAACGTTCATCTTCAAGATCGAGGCAGTGCTCGACGCGGCGTCCCAACGTTCATCTTCAAGATCGAGGCAGTGCTCGGCATGAGCTTCTGCGATCCGAGCAGCTCATTGCAAAGAAGCGGCGCAATAAGCTGGCTGCTGCCGACAAGGCCATTTGCTACCTCACGCGCGGCAAGTTCAGAGTGGACCGGCATGACGATTCGTCATGCCGGTCCATGGGTTGAACATGAACTGCGGCAAGTCGCAGCTGAACAGCGCACTGCGGAAGCATCGTCAGGCGGAGCAGCAACAAATGCGGCAGTTGCCGAGTTTGAGGAGGGCCTGGAGCAGGCGGCGTAGCTAGACTGTATGGCTAGATTGGGGTGTTGAGCCCACCCAGTTTGCCGTACTCATGTGCGCTAGTCCTAGGAATGCGTTGACCATCTGCTCGCTCGGCGTCGAGTGAAAGGACCCCTCAAAGATCCTAGTGAAGTAGATCATCCCCCATGATGTTTTGTTCATAACATCACCCAAGTGGAGGTACATCAGGAGCCGCAGCCGGCCTGCTCTATCAACCCCGCAGCCGCGGTGGCGCGACCGGACCGCGGTTCGCTCCAGGCGCCTTTTGGCCCCGGTTCGAATCGCGGTTGGCGCGTGCGCGTGCGCGCCCAGCCGAGCCGTAGGCCGTATGCCGTCGGCCGTCGGCCGTCGGCCGTCGGCCGTCGGCCGCCGCCGCCGCCGTAGCGGCGGCGAGCGCTCGCCTTTTGCGCGACGCGCAGTGTGAACGCGCGCCGCCCAGCGCCGGACGTGCCGGAGCCGGTCCGGCGCGCGCGCGGGCGGCCAGCGCCGACAGCTGCCGCCCGTTCAAAAAATTGCCCCTTTGTAAAGAAAGAAAACAGACACCCCAAACGAGGGATGGGGGAGGAGGACAGGGTCCCCACCTGCACGAGCAGGATTTTGGAAGGACGATCAGGGGGACAGGTGGGGCTCTCCTGCTCCTGACAAGGGACACGACAGGCTCGCAGCGCGGTGCACGGTGGGCTCCCAACTCCTTGCCCCTTTGTCTTGGGACGGTGCGCAGCCCATTTTCTCGACTTCCAACAAGCAAGTCCATCGGCGCGGCCCGTCTCAACGTCCACCGCCGGCGTATCGCACCCTGTCTCAACGTCCACCGCTCGACCGCGGTATAGCCCACACATCTGGCTGCATGCGCACGATCGCGCTGCTGTTTGCCCCGACGCTGCTCGTCCCGCCGCCGCCGAACGTCGGCGTCGGTCAGGCAGTCTCGACGCCCCGCGCGCGCCTCAGATGCGCTGCCGCCGACGATGTGGACCCTCGCTTTTGCTTGCCCGGCGCGAATCGCGACATCGCCGCCGAGGCCAGCGCGGCCGCGTCACTGTTTCGCCCATCCTCGGTCCCGCTCTTCCAGCCCGTGGGCGAGGCGGACGCTCCCATGCGTGCGCTCGCGATGGTGACGCTCGCCGCGAACGGCTCCTTTCATCAGCTCGTTGCGGAGATCGTCTCAAACGTGACCAGCGGTTCGAGGCGCGGCACGACGTGGCTCAAGCCGCTCGCGGTGCGCACGTGTGCGAATGCGTCGGCAGCTGCGGCGGCACACAAGTTCGACCCGCTGCTCGGCTGGACGCTTCTTGACGGCGACGGCAGCGACGCCGGCCCGCCCAGCGAGGTGCACGTCCTCTCCCCGCTCGCGCCCGCGGCATTCGTCCCGACGCCTCTCCTCGAGGAGGTGCCGCCGGCCCTTGCGTGGGTCGTGCGCAGCCTTTCGGAGGCTCACGCGGCGGCGGCGGCAGAGGAGATGCTCGAGGAGGGCTTATCCTTCGGCGCGCCTCCCGCCGACTCGGCCTGTGTGCACGCCTTCATGGCTGTCGTCGCGCACAAGCTTGGCCATGTAACGTGAAAAAAAATGTACACTGTGATTGCCAAGCGAGCTGCGCCGAGGGGCTGCCACGAGCCGTCGCGAGGGCCCAGTGTCTCGCCACTCGCGCTCCCCGACGCGCGCCTCCGCCTGACCGCGCGCGCTTTACCGAGATTACCCCGCTTTGAGTTTTTTAGTTTATTGAGACTTGAACGCGTACTGGCTACCGCTGCCGCGGGGTGTTGGCCCGATGCCGCGAGAACTCTCCCGGTCGCACTCTGTTTGCGGACATGCACGCGGCTTCAGGGAGTTGCTGCTGGGCCTGCGCCTGGCGGGGCGACTCGGAACGCCGCCCAATAGCCGCCGCCGGCTCCCCAGCCCAGGAGCATGCACGAGAGCCACTCTCTCCGCGCGAAGCGAGCGGCGAGCAAAGCGCCAGCCGCGTAGCCGAGAGACGGCTCAAAGACGCGCCGGAGCTCGGTGGCCTGCTGGACGGAGCGCAGCATCAGGCCGGCGAGGAAGACGATGCGCGGCGTGTAGGCTGCCGCGCCGAGCAGCTGGCCGACCTGCGCGGCTCGCCTCCTCCGGAGGATCGCGCCTCGCAGCCCCTTAGCCTTTTTGCCGGTGGCGGATGACGGCCCACTGGTCGTCGAGCACCGACTTGACCGCGCTGCTCGAGGCGGCCAGCAGGAGGGCGGTGTGCAGGCAGAGCTCAACGGAGGTGCTGTTTGGCGCCGGCTCGCAGACGGCATGCAGGAAGGCGCGGATGCGAGGCGACACGCCCTCACCGGCGCGCCCGCCTCGCAGCCGCGACGCCTCTTGCAGCGGGTCCCGCCCCACCCCGCCCTCCTCAATCCCGGCGCCGCTCCCTTCCAGGTCCGCCGCGTGCAGCTTGAGCACGCCCACGCTGACAGCCCGCGGCGCCGAGTCGTCCGGAGCGACGAGGTCGTTGCGCGCCGTCCCCGCCGTCCAGCCGCTCACGTCCTGAAACCGCGCCGCAGACGGCGAGACGCCCTCCGCGACCAGCTCCTCCAGAAAGGCGCCCCGGCCCGGCCGGTCGCAGTCCCCAATCACGACGAGCCGCGTGCCCGAGCGCAGCGCCTGCACGCACCGCCGGGCGAGGGCGCGGCCCGTCGAGGCGAAGTAGAGCACGTCCGCCGCTGCGACAACGTCGGCGGGTGGCAGCGTCGCCGCCTCGTCGCAGATGTCAAAGATTGAGGTCGTCACGGCGAGCGCCTTCCCGAGCCGCTCGGAGTTGCTCGCGGTCGCGCGCTCGATCAGCTCCAGCGGCTCGGGGCGGTAGTCGGTGGCGAGCGCCGTCGCACCGACCGACGCGGCGGCGATCGAGCACAGGCCTGTCCCGGCGCCGAGCTCGAGGAGAACGCTGCCTGAGCGGAGCAGCGGCTCGCCGGAACCATCAGTCAGGGCGACGAGCTCGCGAGCGACCGCCTGCGCCGCTGGCCACAGAACGACGCCGTAAGGGTCCTCATCCGCTGCTGAATCGTCGACGGTGAGCGCCGAGTCGACCAGCTCGTCCTGCACGCTGATGTCGCCCTCGAGGACGGTCAGAGAGACTTCGTCCAGCTGCACCGCAACCTCCACCCAGCCAGCGCCTCGTCCAGAGACGCGTGGCGGCGTGAGCGGCGGAGCCAGTGCGGAGAGCCAGAGTACAGAGAGCATCTGGCGCCACTCCAACGAGGCACTCGACTCCAACGAGGCACTCGACGACCGCCCGCTCACGGCGTGGGGGCGCCGCGCACTGGCGCCCCGCACTGCCTCACAGTCAGTCAGTCAGTCTTACACACCTCCTAGCATGGAGGACGGGCCCACACGCACACACACGCTGCACACGATTGGCTCGGGAGCCGACACGAGGCACGCTGTCACCGGCCGTAGCACTGGGTCCGGACTGCTGGACGCACAACACACAGCTCACAGGACAGCTCACGAGGTGGCGCTGTATAGTGGGGTTCTCAGGGACCGACACGGGAGAAGAAGGTGGAGCACAGGGACGGGGACACAGAACTCACGAACTGATATCCCACCCCGCGCCGGGGGCGGTGGCGCGCGCGAGCGCCGGGGTACTTATGGACCCGCAGTCTGGCATGCGCCAGGCCACAGATCCGCCGGCGGAGCCTTGAGTCGCATCCGCGATCCGCGCCGGCTCTCAGAAGAGATCCGGCGCGGTGCTGACCGTGCCCTCGGAGTGGACCATCGAATACTCGATGGCTGTCCAGGAGAAGCGGTGCAGCTGCGGCATCTTGTCGCAGCGCGGCATGATGTCGCAGTGCGGCATGCGGTGTGTGGTGGCGGCGTGCCGTCCTCCCATCCCTCCCTTGGGTACGCTGTTTTCTTTCTTTTCCTTCAGTCCACAGTGCCTCATGCGCCCCCCACGGAAGGGAACCGTCAGCGTCACCACGGACGGCCAGGTCACCATCGGCATCTCGCCCCCACCCTGCACCCACCCCTCATACCTCCCCCTCGCCGAATCGCGTTTCGTTCGTGCGCAATCCGTCCGGACGATCTCGCGCTTATCCGCTTATCCGCGCGCGGCACTCGGGCCGCGCCGCCCTGGGGCTAGGGCCTAGGCGCCGCCCCGCGCGACGTCTCGGGGCGCACACGCGGGGTCCACACGGACCACGGATCCTGCACGCTCGAGGCCGGCGGCGGCGGGGCGCGCGCGGGGGAGGATCTCTCTTGCCGGGTTGACGTGGGTAGAGCGAGCGGTTCTTGCCACGGGGCCGGGGGCGATCGCTCGGGAGACGGGAGCCGCGGCGCGCCGGGCGTGCGCGGCGCGGCGCTGGCCGCCGCTCTTTCCGGAGCAAAGTAGAAAAGAACTCCAAAAAGTAGTGGACTGTACTTCTCGTTTTTTGGACGAGTTGACACACAGTCCGAGAGTGACCGCAATGTTGCTGCCTGCCAGCGGACGAAGACTCCAGACTGCAGTCGCGACACCCCCTCCACCGCGTACGCGCGTACACACAGAGAGTCGGAATAATGGAGACACACCCAGATCTGTGCCTAGTCTGGTAGTCAGTCAGAACTGCTCCACCTCGCCATCGCTCTCAAGAAGCTCGAGTAGCTCCGCATCCACCGCCGCTCTCCGTCGCGCACGCTCGCGAGCCGCCTCGTAGCCCTCCCCCTCCCCAAGCTCCTCCTCCTCCTCGCGGTCGCCGTAGCCGGCAAGCCGCGCCCGCACTGCCATCGCCGTCTCCTCGTAGTACTTGAAGTCGACGGCTCCGACCATGATGGTGTCGCCATTCTCGGCGCCCGCCCGCTTAAGGGCGGCGGAGACACCGAGCGCCCCCATGATGCGCTGGAACCGCTCCTGCGCCTCGTGGTAGTCCCAATTGGTCATCGCCGCGGCCTTCTCGATGCGCGCGCCCGAGACGGCCCACACGCGCGGCTGGACCGGCACGACGTTGCACTCGGCCGCCTCCTCGACCTCGTCGAGCGCGACGGTCGGCTCGAGCACCGACGGGGGCGGCTCGGCGGGCGCCGAAGCGACGAGCTTTCGGAGCCGGCCCATCAGCGCAGGCACCTAGGGAGGGAAGCGGGGCCGGCTCAGCAGGGCAAGAGAGGGCGCGGCTATCCCGCTGGAGCTGGCGCGTTTGCGCGCGAAGCCGCAGACACGGCGAGGACGCGCCTGCGGTGGGAGTGCAAAGGGTCTGAGCGCGTTCAGGCTGCGGCTGTGCCTGCGCGGAGGCAGCGCGCACTTATGCCCGGCGGCGGCGGCGAGCCTCTCCAGCAGCTGCGGGGCCGCCTCCGCGACGGCGGGCACGTCGAGCTTGTTGAGCACGATGACCTGGCGAGGCGAGCCAAAGCGGGTCGGCGGGTCGTTTTGTCGGTGCGAGGGCGGCTCTGCGCGCCTGGGGCTTGTTCGCAAGGCGGGGCGAGAAGAGGCGCAGCTCGGTGTTGACCGCCTGCACAAGGGTCCGCTGCGGCGGTTGGCGTGTGCGGGCTCCGCCGCGTCGGCGCACGCGTGCGCGGCCTCAAAGTCGCCGAGCGGGTCTGGGCTAGGGTTAGGGTTAGGGTTAGGTAGGCTAAACCTTTACCTCAAAGTCGCCGAGCGGGTCTGGGCGCGTGCCGTCGACGACGTGCAGGAGCAGCCTGCAGCGCTCGATGTGCCGCAGGAAGGCGCGCCCCAGACCCTTGCCCTCGTGCGCCCCCTCGAGCAAGCCGGGGATGTCGGCGAGGACGAGCGACGCCTGCAGCGAGGGGCGCGCCGCCTCAGCCCTGCCCCGCCTCAAGCCCCGGGGCGCTAGCGAGCGGGCGTCTGCCTCGGTGTCCGCCGCGGAGCGCCAGACGCCCAAGTTGGGGGTGACGGTGGTGAAGGCGTACGGCGCAATCTTCGGCTTGGCGTTCGTGGCGGCGGCGAGGAGAGAGGACTTGCCCGCGTTGGGTACGCCGACCAAGCCAACCTACCATCCGAACAAGCTCCCGTGCCGAGGGGGCTCGGGCGGGCTGCGGCGTGGCCAGCGCGCGCGAGGCACGTCCGCGAGCAGCTTGAGCTCGAGCTTGAGCCAGCGCTGCCCTCCCGGCTCGCCCTGCTCCGCGAGCCGAGGCGTCGTGTCCCGGGCAGTCTTGAAGGCTGCGTTCCCGCGCCCTCCTCGCCCTCCGCGAGCGACGCGCATGCTGTCGCCGTGCCGCAGCACCTCGCCCACCAGCGCGTCGTCCTCGTCCTGCCGCACGACCGTGCCGGGCGGCACGCGCACCTACCAGCGCCACTCACCGAGAGTGAGCCACGCACCTCGCGTGCGAAGGGAGAGAACTCTGACAGAGAGCGGCTGGCCGTGACGTCGCCGCCCGACTCGCCGTGCCGCGCCTTGCCCATGCCGTTCTGGCCGCCCGTTGCTCGGAAGTGGACCTCCTGCTTGAGCATGTTGAGTCCCTCGTCGCAGACGAGGTGAATGGAGCCGCCGCGCCCGCCGTTGCCGCCCGCCGGCCCCATCTTTGGCTTGTCCTTCTCGCGCCGGAAAGCAACGCACCCGTTGCCGCCGTCGCCTGCCTGCACCCAGATGCGCGCGCGGTCGAAAAAGAGCCAGTCCGCCTCGTCGTCGGCCTCGTCGGGCAGTCGCACACCGTACGAAAGCTCATCGTCCACGCCCAGCTCTGCGCCAAAGGAGCCGTCCGGCGCACGCAGCTGCTCAGCCATGAGCGGCGCTCGCGACACGCGAGATGCGGCCGCCCGCGACGCGGGACCAGTAGTGGCGTGGGTCACATGCGCGAGCGTCGGCAGGAGGAGCATAGTGTGACGGTCAGGCTAAAGCTCGATCAGCGGCGTAGGCACAGCGGGCGCGGTATTGGGATCTGGCCGTACCGCGTACCGCTGGGCCGAGTGGCTCCTCGAGCAGCAGGTGGATTGAAGAAAAACACCGAAATCGCTGTCTGTCGAGGCAGAGGAGAGCGACGCGACAGAGGAAGAAGCGACAAGGGAGACCACGACGAGAAGGGGGCGACCGCGAGGTGGCACGAAGGTTGAAGCGAGAATCGGAGAAGGACTGCGAAGAGAGATAGGAAGAGGCGGACGCCCAAGGGTGGGCGACGGCTAGCGCACCACACCCCTCTCCTTAAAATCCCTGTGTGGTGGCGGCGTGCCGTCCTCCCATCCCTCCCTTGGCTTGTCCGCTTTTTTTCTTTCTTTCTTCGCGTCCACCCATACCGCGTTGGTGTCCAGTCCGATGTTCTTCAGACTTCACCTTCCTACATACATACATACATCTCTGTAGCCACTCGACACTCAAAGCTCGCACCGACTCGTCATCGCTACCCCAAACATCGAAACGCCACAAAACAAGGTATTGCTAAAAATCTCTCTCTTGAAACGTCTGCGGCTGGGGAGCTGCAGAAAGCAACCCTGTCATTGGTCTTCCTTCCGGATCCTCGGCGCGGCGCGGACGGGCCGCAGGCCGTCAAGGTGCATGTAGGCGTCGTCCGACTCGTCCTCTGAGTCGCCCGAGGGGACCTCGGCGTAGGGCCGATACGCGCAGTGCTTGGGCCACTGCCACTCGAGTCTTCCGGTGGCGGGGTCAGTGAGAACCTCCCTCAGCGGCGGCAACAGGCGAGTGTAGCCGAGGTAGAGGGTGAGGGGCACCGTCAACGGGAAGAGGACGATGTACCAAAAGGCGCCGACCGCAAGGAGGAGGAGCACGAGGGGCGAAGCGGTCATAACGCCGCCCACAAGAGCAACAGATTGCACCGGCCGCTCGACGGCAAAGGCTTTCGCGCTCGATAACGCGTGGGCGACGACGCCGCTCTGCGTCAGGCCGACGGCGCCCGAGGTAAGCTGCCGCAGCGCGGAGGGAAGCAAAGTGCCGCACAGGGCGAGGAGGGCCACGGGGGCGCAGCAGAGGAGGCCGAGACCAGTCATGACGAGGCTGATAAACAGGAATGGCGTGAGCACCATCCCACACGCAGCAAGCGTGCAGGCAAGCATCGGTGACGCCCACGCCTGCGTCAAGATCCGGGAGACGCCTCTGTAGGCGACGGCGGAGAGCGCCACGGAGAAAGCGCCGAGGGAGACATCCGAATCTCTGTCGCTCGCCATCGACAGCCCCTCCGAGCGGCGCGACGCCGTCGCCCGAGTTGCGGAAAGCCTGGCCGCAGCCGCCTCCACCGCCTCGCTGCGGCGTGGCACTCCATCAACGACCGCCTTTCGAAAGGCGGCATCGATCGCGGCGGCCATTCGAGCCGTCTCCGCGGCCGATTCGTCCTCTTCCCCCGACACTCGCTCCTCTCCAGTTGGGGCTGTCGCTAACGGCGACACCTCGGGTGCTGCGCCGCTTGCAGTAGCAGCCTGGCAGGCCATCGCGACTCGTCGAGCCTGGGACGCCTGGCGAGCCAATGTTGCGCCCTCCCTCACCCTGCGAGTCGTGTCATTCGTCAGCACCACCTCAGCGAACCTTGATCTTCGGGCTGTCGGTGGCGCCCGGTTATTTTCCGACTCGCCGCGCCGACGCGCCCCCTTGGCGCGGCCGCCGTGCAGGATAGCAGAAGGGTACCGAGCTAGGTCTGCGCGTCGGTATATTGGCCCGGGGGGGCTCGCGCTCTCGGGGATTCGCCCGTCAAAGTGCTGCATTCCTCACGCGCTGATGCGTCAGGAGACAGGGCGGACGGACGTTGCCCCGCACAATGGATCCCACAACCATCATGTTAGTGATCTGTGATCTGTGATCTGTAAGGGTCCGCCCGCAGGCGCATTTTGTATACCGAGGCGGTGCCCGGTGCCGAGCGCAGGCAGAGCCCACAGGTCGGACCTTAAGACAGCATTGTAGATCCCTGGGCGAGCGAGGGTGGTGGAGAGTACCTTAGAGAGAGAGTGCCCCACTTGAGCACTTGAGCACTTGATAGGGTCGATTCCGCATGGTACGGGACCCCTATTCCCTATTGCTCCACTAGGATACAGTGCATGTGCATGCATCAGGGGGCAAATAGGGGGGCACACCACCCCGCGGCGGCCCCGAGTGTCGAGACCTCTCGGACTCGGTCGAAACGCGGGTCCTCTCGCGACACGCGAGGCGCGGGGACCTCGCTCCTCGGTCCTCGGCCCGCTCGGGGTCCTCGCCCTCCGTCCTCCGATAGGCCTTAGGCGATAGCGATACGCGACTCAATATGCACAATGGACTAAGCTGGCGAATGCGATTTCAGCTTCAGTATACAGTAATAAAAAAGCATGCTCCGTGGAGCGTGCGAGCATACAAGAAGGGGAGGAGGAAGAGGAGAGACGCCGGTGAGGACGAAGCAGAAACTAGCGCAGACGAGAGCAGGGCAGACCCGGGGACTGGGGAGCCGGAGCAGACGGCATCGGCCGCCGAGGGAACGTTGGGAAGAGGCACGAGGAGGGCGGCGACCTCAACCGACTATGGAGGACCCGTCGCCAGACGGCGCAGGGCAGAAGACGGTGAGGCGGAGCAGACGCGCAGGGCGAGACGAGGGAGGGAGCAGGACTTTGCGGAGATATCAGCAGGAGGATGTACGAAGAGATTAGGAGCAGCAGGGACCCCCCGAGGGACCATGTGGAAGACGGCTAGTGCTAGTCCCCCACCGGGAGGACGACCCCGGCTAGTGGCCGACCACACCCACAAAGAACCCTGCACAAAGAGATCCATACATATCTCACAGTAGAGGTGTCCGTTTTTATTTATTTATTTGTGCGCCAACCTGCATATCGGTCTTCGCACTTCGGTCAGCGCATAGAGCTCTCTATCCTCTTGCCGCATGCGGCGAGCTTCTGGCAAGTTCTTGGCCGTCCACCCACTGCACCACCTCGTCGGCGGCCGCCTCCCACCCGGCCGCCAGCATGATATCGTGCGGCGCGCCTCGCAGCACGCGCGCCCTCGTGCCCAGGAAGGCCGCCGTCTCCTCCACGCCCTCCGCGTCCACCACCCCGTCCGCCTCGGCGCCGATCACCAGCGCAGGCGGGGCCGTGGCGAGCCACGTTGCCCGGCCGACCGCGTCCGCCTGGCGCGACGGCAGCGCCTTGTTGAAGTCGGAGAGGTTGATGCCGCACCTCGAGTCGGCGGCGAAGCGGGCCACGTGCGCCTCCACCTCCTCCTCGCCCATCTCGTCGTCGAAGAAGAGCCGCCTCGCCACCGAGGAGGAGCGCGCAGCCTCCTTGAAGGCGAAGCCGCGCACGAGGAGCCACGCGGCCGCCGGCGAGCGGCGGACGAAGCGCAGCGTCATCGCACTGTTGCCCGACGGCGGGACAGAGCAGAGCAGGACGGCGGCCGAGGCGGCGTGGCCAGCCTCGAGGTACTTGAGGACCGAGGCGCCGCCAAAGGAGTGGCCGACCAGGACGGGCGGGCCGGCCGACGACGCGGCGAGAGGGCCGTCGACAAAGGCGGCGAGGTCAGACACGTGCTCCTCAATCTTGACGGAGCGCTGGCGGCAGTTGCCGGTGGGAGAGCCGCTGGTGCCGCGCAGCGAGACGGCGTGGCACTCGCAGCCGAGCGAGGCGGCGAAGCGGCCCATCCAGCGCTCCCAGCACCACGCGCCGTGAAAGCTGCCATGCACAAATAGCACCGGAGGCGAGCTCGGCGGCTCGCTGCCCGCCGGCCGCTGCACGAGCCACTCGAGACTGATGGAGGCGAGGTCCGCGCGACGACGCTCGAGCGGCGGCAGAGCGGAGAGAGCCGAGGAGCCGCGAGTCACGGCGAGCAGGAGCAACAGCGGGAGGAGCCGCGAGCGCATTTGCGCGGGCAAGGTGGTAAGCGTCGAACGTGCGTGGTTGCCTTGGCCCCCTTCGTCTTCGTCTTTCGCCGCTTCTTGGGCGCCGCGGGCGGCGGAGTGTGGAGTCGGCAGCGGCGGTGTGATGCGCAGCCGGTGATGCGAGTTCTGATTTCTTTTTCGGTCTCTCTTTAAAATCCCTCCCTGTTCTCCGCTTTAGGGAACCCCCCACCCAAACAAGAAGGAGAGCCGAGAGATTTTGTGCCCCACCCCATCCTAACTCTCCACACTTTCGCCTATTTCTTCGCCCCCGCGCCCCGCCCCCGCGCCCCGGGAAAGTCCGTCTCCTCTGTCACCTGTCAGTATTCTGCCTAGTTCGTAGTCCGCTGTGTGTCGTGTGTGGCCGTCGGCCTGAGTTTTCTTCCATCTTTCCTATTTGCTACTCGTCGAGATTTGTGTTACCGAGAAACACCCTCGGCCGCCGCCGCATCGCAGGAGCTCGCAAAGTAGGTCGGGTACGGCTCTCGCCCTGGCCACTGCACGCCCGCCTCGAGCAGCTCCACCAGCGGCGTTGGCTGCTCCGCCAAGCTCGCCGCCGCCGCAGCCTCCTCGGTCGCCTCGATCCCGTACGAGCGCCTGAGCACCGCTGTGATGAGCGGGTGGTCCTGAGTCGAGAGGAACTCGGACACGCTCATCCAGCGGCAGTCGCTGATCTCCTCCGGGTCGAGGTTAATCTCCGGCTCTCCGCCTCCCTCCGGCTCCAGCCGCGCCACGTAGTAGAGGTCACTCTTGCCCCAAGTCAGGCCGTGCCGGTGCCAGAAGCAGAGCAGCGACCTGAAGCGGGTCCGCACGCCCGTCTCCTCGAGCGTCTCTCGCACCGATGCGTCGCCAAAGGACTCGCCCGGGTCGAGGAGGCCGCCGGGCAGCTTCCACTGCGCCGAAGGGCTCCGCGTGCCGCTCTCGGCGTCGTCCCGCCACTCCCGCACCACGAGCAGCTTTCCCGTGTCGCTGATGCAGAGGCCCGCGATGCCGACCTGGTGCGTCGCGAAGGGCGGAACCTTGTCGGTGAGCCGCGGCTGCAGCCAGCGTTTAAGCACGACGTGGCGGCCGTCCGCGTCGAGGGGCACGTGGTGGAAGACGAAGCCGTGCTGCGCCGCCACGCTCGCAAGGCCGGCGTTCTCGATTGGTAGCTTGAACATGCACGACTTGACGCCCTCCGCCGTCCACCGCTCGAGGCTCGGCGCAATGCGCGCCTCAAACTCGGAGGGAGGCGGCGCACCGGCCTGCGTCCAGTCGAGGAGCACGCCTCGGTAAGGTAGACGCTGCACTGGCAGCGCCGAGGCGGCCATGCTCACGATTGTCGCCCGCTGGACGGCGCCGAGGCGGCTCAGCGGGAGGCGCATATATGCGCCACCGAGCGTGGTGTGCGGTGATTACGGCGACTGCGAGCTTAGCCGGTCCGAATAGAGGACTCTGTCGCCGCCGGTCGGTTCGCCGAAGGCTCTTAGTCTCGCCGCCGTGGACGTCGAAAAGCGGAAGAAACGGTGCTGCCGCGTTCAGTGTACTTTTAGCTACTGATACCCGAGCAAAATAAGATCACGAAGGACGCGGTGAGAAAGATGATGGAGAGACAGGAGAGGGAGCGACAGGAGGGGAGCCTCGGGGCGGATGAGACGTTGTTCCCAGAGGGGGCGCCCCAGAGACACATAAACTGGAAGAAAGAAGACTACGAGCTGTTCGTGGGGCACGGACACGGGGCGAGCGCGATCAGAGTAGGGGAGCTACAGGAGGACCCACTAACGCGCTTCCTGCTCCGATACGACGAATTTGAGACGGGGGGAGAGCTGACGGACGGCAACGGGAAGCGAATTAAGATGGGAAAAGACAGCGAGCCGCTGCGGTCGGGGAAGGGACGAGCCTTGAACGTGAAAGTAGCGCAGACATGCCTCGCGCTGCACGTCTCACACCAGTTCACACACTTTGCGGCGACGGACGGAGGAAAGGACCATGAAGACAAAAGGGCGGAGGATGGAAAGTACGTGCCGAACCCTAGGGTGGCGTACGGCGTGTTCGAAGGACCGACACGATTCGGAAAGAGCGTCCCGGGAGACGCACAGGTAAAGGATCCCAACGGAATCGGACCCTGTGAAGAAGGGGAGATACGGATAGCGTTTGGGGCGGGAATGTGGGGAGGAAAGCTGCCGA